GTGAATGGGCGGTTGCTTGTACTCAGTTGACAGACTAGAAGTAAATAGGTTTATTCAGGCATACACAAATACAGTTACATAGATTATCATACATAGCAGTGCATATATAGAGAATCTATGATAACCCAGAAAAGTCAGACAAAGTGACTTATTTCCAGTACCTGGCCTGGGCTTGCCATATATGATTTTTGGTAAATATTTTTTTCTCGGTTGTTTGTTGGGCTATCTCATTGAAACTTGGGCAATGTATGATGGAAAGATGCTTCTTAACCCCTTCAGGGTCCAAGGCCAAAATCTGAAGCGGTGCCCCAGTGTCCAAGAATTTAAAAAAAAAAAAGTTATTTTTTCTTATGAAATGGTAGAGAATCTTTTTCTGAAGGTAATAAAACAAAAAGTACGAAATTTGATGGAAAATTGACAAAATTAGGCTCTCGCGAATTTTGATGTGTCAGCGATATTTACGAATCGGCGATTTTGCCGACTTTGACTCCCATTTTAGGCCAATTATATTATTCTAGTCGACCAAATTCTTAGCTATTTCACTAGTATTACTTCTATTCTATCGATTGAGCACAAGAAATCGCCAAGTCAACTGTTTCAACTACAAAATAAAGTGATGGGAAGTTGGTAATTTGGCCAATTTAACACAAAGTTCAAAATATTCCAATTTCAAAGTAGGGTCCAGAATAAACAATGTAGGTATTCCTGGCACTAAACTAACATTTCCTCTGTTCATTAGTTATGTTTTGAGGCTTTACAAATAGATTCCATTTTGATTTTTTATTCACATAATGAATTTTTATTCACCAAAAAATAGAAGATTTACTGTTATGCAATATTGTAATAATTGTATAAATATTATCACCACATTTGTGAATGTATATTAGACCCACGAGCTGGCGTGTATTAGACGTGTGAGGTCGTTTGTTTACTCTTGAACATCAGCAAAAATTTAACATTTCTACTCTTTTGAGCTCAGTTTCAAGCCATTTCCAGTGCTAAAACCAATCAAAATCATCCCTATTTCTGTAATATGTCTTCCATTCTATCAAATGAGACCAAGAAATCGCAAATACAACTATAAAAAACATACGAAAAAACACTGCAAAGTTGCTGTTTTAATCGAAAATAATGGTCTCAGTTTTTTTTCTCTCATACACAGTGTGCTGCAGGTTTTGTTTTATGTGGTGCACACATACCACATAGATGTATTCTCTCATATCTAGGCCCAAATGTACCACTCACAGTTTATCAGTGTGAGCTGAGCGCATGACGTAGATCTACGGTTTGGACCCTGAACGTAAAGCCGTAGATCTACGGGACGGACCCTGAAAGGGTTAACGTACAACAAAAATAAAAAAGATGGACGATAAATAAGGGAGTTCACTTCTCAGCCATTAGCTGCCTCTTTGCAGTATATTTTCGTATGGTTTTTATGGTTGTATTCTCATTTTTTTGGACTCGTTTGATAGAATGGAAGATATATTACAGAAATAGACATGATTTTGATTGTTTCCACGACGAAAAGTACCTTGAAATTGAGCTCAAAGTAGAGGAAATGTTCGATTTTTGCCGATGTTCAATGAACTTTGTGCAAGTCAAGTTGGTTAATTTTATTAAGTGTATTCTAACCTAACCACTCTGTAATTTGGCAAACTCAGTAATCTGGCACACTACAGGTCCCAATGATGCTGGATTTGTGATGGAGGACTTGTATTCCAATTTCAAAATAGGGTCCAGAATAAATAATGCAGGCATTCTGGCACAAAAATAACATTTCCTTGTTTATTAGTTTCGTTTCCAGGCTTTACACATGAATTCCATTTTTATTTTTTTTTATTTGCATAAAGAATTTTTATTCGCACCAAAAAATACATTTACTGTTATGCAATATTGCAATAATTGTATAAATAATATCAGTGCATTCGTGAATGTATATTAGACTCGCCAGTTGATGTGTATTGGATGCGTGATGTCATTTGTTTACTCTCGAACATCGGCAAAAACCGAACACTCCTGCTACTTTGAGCTCAATTTCAAGCCATTTACAACACAAAAATCAATCAAAATCATCTCTATTTCTGTAATATGTCTCCCATTCTGTCAAATGAGACCAAGATACCGCAAATACAACTAAAAACCTGGAGTTTACACAAAAATATACCGCAAAGTCGATATTTTAATCCAAAAAAACACGGTCGCATTTTTTTTCCTTATTATGCAACGTGTGCTGCAGGATTCGTTTTATATGGTGCACACTTACCACATAGATGCACTCTCTCATATCTATGCTCATATTTACGACTCGGCTTATCTGAGTGAGCTGAGCTCGTGATGTAGATCTACAGCTTGGACCCTCAAGGGCTAATGCTTCAAACACCCCAGCCCCCTGCTTAACTTCGTTAGTCCTCTGCTCGATCCCTCCCTCCCAAAGTCTCCTGCTAGACCTCCCCAAGTCTTCTGCTTGGTCTCCGCAGTCCTCTGCTCAACTTGTAAGTCTTCTGCTTGATGTCCCCCTCCTCCCAGTTCAGTGCTTGACCAAATCTCCCTTCTCCATTCCTGTGTTTAGTTCTTTTCCCCTTCCTCTTCCCCACCTGTAGATTGTCCCCCTCCTCAAAACTTCCTATTTTCTTCCTGCTCCTATTCTCCGTGTCAGTGCATACTATTTATATTGCCAAATATACATAATGCCTGTTATATTAGCCTTTACTGAAGATCACTGGAAATTTAAGTGGTTATATCTGGTACTTCATAGTTGATGCTAGATGGGGGTTGATGTTTGTAGCAAATGGAAGCATGTTTGAAATTGTTGGCACAGCATTACAAAAAAGTGATGCACTGTCATGTATGTTTTAGAAAGTCCTGTAATTGTGTGGTTTGTAGCATCTTTGAGGTTATGGGTAGCCACCTACAGTAGCACAGCTGCCACTTATGAAAAAATACAAGTTACAGAACAAGGTTTCATGGGACGGCATTTTGCTGTACTCTCCAGTTTGTGGTTGTACGGGTAAAGTCTCAACTCCTGTGGCCCCACCACTCCGCTAGCCACTATTGGGTCCCCCTTTTCCTGGCTCTGTGAGACCTACCATATCTATTCTTGAAACTGCATTTGGATCCTGCCTCGACCAATTTTGTCTAGGTCGTTTCACTATGTAGAGTGAAATGTCCCAATTAAAGTTTGTTCTACAGTTGTTTTTGGTCTTCATATGGGTACAGTTTTACAAAAAAGTGATTCTCCTTCATGTACGTCTTAGTCCTGTAGTACAACTGTCAAGCACGTGTAATAGTTTTTGTCTTGATTCACTTACTTGATCAGCATGTCAAGTCTTGCAACTTGTATAGTACCGTATATGGGGGCATGACTGTTATTGCACTCCCTTATTGCTTTTTGTAATGCTGTTGTGTTTAGGGGTTAAGGGAATCAAACTTATAATTTTCAATATGATTACCTTGGAGAGAATCAAATATAGGTTCATAAGTGACTGAAGTTATTTCTGTATTGGGGAAAAGGGTTTTCATAATGAAAGTAGGAACTTCTGGAAGGACAGGAAAATTTGTGTAATTTGTGGTTCCAGTAACCATCAGCAAGACATACAATACCCTACATGGTTGGCAATATTGTTTTAAAATTTAATTGAATATGAAGGGTAATGGTGGTGGTATCTGCAAAGATGATTTCTTTTTTTTTTTTTTTTTTTTTTTTGTGTGTGTGTGTGTGTGTGTGTGTGTGTGTGTGTGTGTGTGTGTGTGTGTGTGTGTGTGTGTGTGTGTGTGTGGTGTGTGTGTGTGTGGTAATTTCTAATTCCAATAGTATTTTGTAATAAGTTGTATATTAATGTATATATATTAAAGGTTTTGGTTTCATGTTATAGCATTTTATCTTAGTTTTCAGTGTCTGGGATTGTTCTCTTATTGTATGAATTGCATTTAGCTAATAGTGCATTGGCAAGTGATACGTGTGATAGAAATCATGCAAAGAGTATGAGGCATAAAGGAGAAAGTATTAAATATTAGAAAATAAGAGGAATGAAACAAAATAAAATTTCATGGAGGTCAGAGAGCTTTTCACAGAGACTTTTGTATGGTTTAAAACCCTGTTAGACTACACCATCTTTGTGGTACGTGTTTAGCAAAAATTCTATGGCAAGTATAATATAAAAGTTTGTTCTAGTGAAGCAGTTAGTTATTGAAAAGGGTCTCCATGTCAACATAAACTACTAGTTCAAGTTTTACTGTACATGGAAAGAAATTTTTTTTTTTTTCACTATCAGGAAGTTATACAATGAAGCTTCACTATATAAGGTGAAATGCATAACCTAGAATGAGGTAACGATGTACAAGGAACGTACATACAAAAGAAAATGTTCCTACAAATGAGCAAAATTTGCCGTTGTAAAGAGGTTCCTTCCAACCCAAGTTAAATGGTAAAAAGAAAAAACAGTTGAAGTTGGTATGCAGGAATTTGTTGCTTACTGACATAAACACCTCTGAATATAGTGCTGGGTATTAAGTTGTGAAATTTTTGTTAGGACACATGAGGCACCCATAGCCTACACAGTAAGTTGTTCTGTTGGTTTATATTCTTAGTAATTGCAGGCAGAAACTCTTATCTTATCCCTATTGCTGTATAAAATTTGCTTAATATGTGTATTTAAAAATTTTCAGGGATATTTGAGGGTGTAAATGACTGCTGCAGGTGTCAAGTGGTGGTATCCTGGCCAAGTGTGTTATAATGATGCTCTTAAAGTTTGTTTTTCTTTGATATGCACAGTGAAACCTGGATTTAGATACGACTGAAGCACGATTTGCACTCATTGTCTATAATTAAATGCTGTAATAGAACTCACTTTCCTGTTTGGGCTCACTCCTGTAATGTTCTTAGAATGCTAGCTGTATTTTATGTAATAAAAGGTGATGTTTAACCTATTAGTTTGCCCTGGGATGATGCATAATTTTTTAGGATAGACTAATTAATTTAGTGTGTTGGTTAACTATTTCAGCTCTGCCTGGTCCTGGGCAAATGGCCCCTGGTTTAGCTGGTCCACCAATGATGGGCGCACCCATTATGGGAGGGCCGCACATGATCCCGCGCTTCAGGTGACCACCGGGTCCCGGTATGTAGCCAGCAGGTAGGAAGCAACAGGATGGGCAGCAGCAGGTCACGGCGCTGGTGAGGCAACATACGCATGCCTTCGTCATGACTGATAGTCAGCCTCCTCACCGACCCTCCCTCGCTCGCTCGCTAAGCACACTAGCGCAGTCAGTCAGTCACTAAGTTGGCTTGTGGGGCAAACCAACACACACCTGGGACTATCCAAGATGAATCTGCTGTCTACATTATCTGCATTATTAGGCAAGAATTCTCAATAACACCACTCATGCAGAGACGCTTAGACATGTCCAACTCTAGGTAAAGCTAAGATAGGAATAGTTTAACTGAATTAGAAAATAGGTCAAATTTATATCCCATGAGTGATGTTTTTTGTGAAGTCGTAGGATTCTCTCATCATTTAACTATCAAAAGATTGCAAACATGTTGACAAAAATAATGAAATTGTAGTGAGTCCCTAACACTTGTTGGTTTTCCATCACAGCTCGATTAGTCCTGTGTGGACAAGCTAACATTGCATCACTCTGCAGCAAGCATCTGTTATCATCTGTTATTGACTTCTTTGTCTCTTTTTATCATTGCTCTGATCAGTGTTGAAATGTTTATCCACAAGACTGTCGTTTGTGTGCCGCCCACGTGGAACTTACGTTTGAGCAAGTGGTGCTTGTATACTTGCTTCTTGGGACCTACACTTGATTGTATGTATTTATACTCGATCCATCTCAAGTGTGCAAGAAGTCTCGCCCAGGTGCTGCATCTGCACTTTCCCCATTGACTTTATCATATTCCAGGCCTTGGTAATCATTGTGATTAATATGCTTGAGATGGGTAAGACAATTGGATTAAGGGCAGGTATGGCCAGTGGAATAAGGCACTGCTGCTAACTTGGGCCAGGATGGAGGATGCAGGCGCGACTGTTCAATCCTTGGAGCATTGAAGCACTTGTATTATAGTGTTTTTAGGTTTCATTTTTTTTTTTTTTTGTGATAATTGTGTATTTGTGAATTTTTCTCTTAAGGTAAGAATCTGTTTAGTTAATAAGGTAAGAGGCTGTTTAGTTTAGACATGGTAGTTCTTCACAAAAGCACTGTTGGAATTTTATCCTACCTATACAGATGTTAACAGCAGGTTAGTCCATTTATATAATTTTTTTGCAAGTTGTACAAATGACTTTGTAAATTGTTGAAAGGGAGATCCCATTAGCAGCCGTAAGTACTTTTTTGTATTTATAATTGTCATCATATTGCTATGAGGAATCTAGTGACTTAACTATCAGCTTTGTTCAAAATAATCACCTGTTTATTGTATGTTGTGAAATAAATAGTAAGTTGTCAATCTTGTATTAGTTTGTTTCAAGCTTTATATTTTGTTATAATTCATACAAAATAAGATTTTTTCTTTGGATGAAAGTAATGGATTTTTTGTATTATTACTTGAAAAGGTGGAAGGAGTGGAGCATTCGAACATTGTGGAAATTCGCAACAGGTGAGCCCAAACGAGAGGACGCGAGGCTGGGAGAGATGAGAATTAATACTTTTGGTTTCTCCGAAGAGTAATATTGCGGTTGTACTTCTGTAATCGTTTTGGTAGAGCACGTTTCTCATCTCAGGATTTCCTTGTTATAAAAATTAACATACCTCATAATTTTGTGGCATTATCTTTGAAGATTATTTTATTTTTCATTTTTTTTTATTTCGTGGAAAATGTAAGTGCATTTATTCTTAATTTGTAGCCAGGGTATTCTGAGGGAGTTACTTCGTAAAGCCAAAACCTTTGCTGTAGTATCACTGTTAAGTCATCACTCCTCAGTGTGCATGGAATTTTGTTACTTATTGTAATTCAGAATAACACAGGAACTGAATGGATTCTTAACCCATACTGGGTTTGTGCATGTAAGAGGTCATTTATCTTAAGGGTTAAAAAAGTGTGGAGCGCCTAAGTATGTTAATGGGTGGCCACAAGTGTAGAGGGCTAGGGCATGGTGAGGCTAACTGACCAACTCTTATTGACACACTTTTTCTTTGCTAATCTGCTATTCGTTGTAGTTTTTAAAGAGTAATTTAAATGTATTTAGCAGGGTTGAAATTGTATTCCACTTGATTTCATAGCTTCAATGCTTAAATTTTTCATTTCAAGTTTCATGCATATTATTTTTCTTATTTTTAGATTTGTAATATGTTTGAGTTTTATTTGTATTATGCAGTATTGTTTTATCTTTGTAAAAACAAATATTGTAGCAGGAAATACATTAAATTTAGATATGAAATAGTGATGATTATAAAATACAAATAATTGTTTGTGCCAATTTCAGTTTAATTATTTTGTCCAATATTACTGGTAGCTCGTGTATCATAACTAACTGCCATTGTTATTTTTTTTTTTTTTTTTTTAAGCATTGAGAAAAGGATATAAAAGTATTAGTAGCAGTTTATTCTTCAGGTTGGTTAGCTGCACCATGCTCCCTCTTGAATAACTAACCACTTGAGACATTCCAACGCACATGGCAGTGGTGAGAGCAGTTTCAGTTTTCCCAGCTTGCAGCCTCTCTGGAGCCCTGTTATGTCTCCGCATGGCGCAGCCCGCTCTTGATTAGCTTGGTGATGGTGAATCTGGGAAGTGAGGCCACATTCTCAGTTTTGGGGCCGACGAGTGACTCTCACCCACTGCACTCATTATTGCTACGCCGATACCTTTATCTGCCTTTAGAGTGTATTGTGTGTGTGCGTGAGAGGGAAGTGTGATAGTGAAGTTTTAGATTCCATGTTAAATCTCTGGATTTGTGTGTTTTAGAGATATATAATGTAATTTCTATACAGAATAGCCAGCTAGCTATTCCAATGTTAGGAAGTTTAGTTGTATTTTGTAATTTGTCAGTTATATAGTACTCTATGTATATGTCAGATAGGGAGTGGTGGCACATGCTAGTGAAGTGAGTGTGGTTTGGGTGAGAACTACTCAGGTTGGCCATTTGCTCAGTAGCCCTAGAAGTCCCCAATATGAATGTGTTCAGTCTTCCAGCAGCCGCCAGGTAGGCTAAATTCACAGCACCAGGGGCTGTTGGGAGTCAGTCCCCCAACCGGACGTGGTTTGGTGATTCATTCACAGCCTGTCACGGTGCTGTTGGACCTTTCAGTCCCCAGCCCCCTGAATTAGGGGGCTTGGTGAATTCTCTCACACTACTACTATGTGTCGTACTGTGTTAGGCATCACTGATCTAGGTTGGGCCCAACCTCGCACCCAGCATATTGACTGCTAGTCAGCTTGTATTGAGCAGGCAAGTGGGGGTTATGAGGTGTGGGATGCTACTCAACCCAGAGAGCCCGGATTGTAGCTGCAGTGTTGAGAGGATAATCACCTGTACTCCCTGGACCACTCTTGTGACCACGCCCTCCAGAACTGTTTCAAGAAGGTACAGATTTTGTTTATTGATGGTGGTTGGGGAATGGCCAATCTTCAACATTTCTTCACTTGCTTTAAGAATGGTTTGAGCATGAGGGTCTAACTGGCAAACTTTGTAATGTAGAATTTAGTAGATACAGAGCTCTTGCAATTTTACATCTAGTTTGTATGTTAGCACTGCAGTGCTCAAGCTTCTCTGTGACTTGGTAAGCTACTGTGGGCTATAGTATTTCAATGAGGTCTTCATGCAGATTAATGGAGCCTCGTGTATAGCCTTCTAGCGCAGAGTGCTTTCCATCACGCTTGCACTTAAATTACAGAGTTTACAAAATTGTACACAATTTCTCCCTCATATCAGATTGCTGCTTTTGTAATACTGTACTGTATAAAGTTGCTCTAACTCCAGATTCACCATGGAGACTATAATGTTGATGTTGACCACATCATATTACCAAAACAGGTAGCAGCCTATTCTGACATAACATTTTCAAGCCACCTATTTAACTACTAACTACAAAAGCAGGAGGAGAATTTCATTTTTTTTTTTTTTTACAATTCAATGAAAACTGTACTTTGTCAACATTCTTAATAAAAAAAAAAATTATTTTATCAAACAAGACTAAAGTTTAAATGCCTTTATCTTGAATTAACTATTTTTGTAGTACATATGCCCAGCATTTGGAAATTTCATTCAAATACAGCACTCATTCGGATTAGGTTGAATAAAAGTTATTTTTTTTTTTACTCTCGTATTCCTATTTAAGATGGTAATGCAACAAAAAAAAAAGTTTTTCCCTAAAGGTTTGGAGATTAAAAAAAATCCAAGTTCAGTATTCTAATGTTTTGTGTTAATGAATTTAAGACGTTAGAGATGGCATCAGTGAAGCAGTCATGTCTGCAGATTTACCCAGTGATAGTGTCTGAAGCAATCATGCCCCCCTGACTTGCCTTAAAAGTTCAAGACTATTGAAACGATCGCATTTGCTGACTGGCCTTGAGATGGAGTTAGTGAAGCGATCATGTTTGCTGACACAGTGGTTAAGCGATAATGTTCATCAACCTGAAAGTTCTGCATAATTAATATACAGTAGGGGAAGCCTAATGAATAGTCCCAGTTCCAGTGAATGCACTAATAAGTTACTGAATGCTTTCGTGTGTAAACCAAGCAAATGCACAGGATACCAATAGAGCCAGCTTGTAAACCTAAAAAAAAAAAAAAAAAAAAAAAAAAAAAAAAATATATAGACATGAGATAGTACAAATACATCCATTCAAGATGAAAGACTAGTTATTAGTTTCATTCTAGTACTTTGCTTATAATTTTAGACACTTCATTTATAAAAACATCTGTTTATAATGGAGAGAAAAATGTGCATGTTGGTTTAGGAGATGGGGAGGATTGCAAACACTCAGACATGCCATGTCATCTATGGTGAATATTTTTAACCTCTTAAGTTGGTTTTTCTGTCAGCTTTTGTTGAAACGTACAAAAGGGGTTGTAGAGTTAGCAGCAGTAGTAGCCATCCTGTTAACTGGTCATAGCTAAAACTAGCCTTCAAGGATGCCATTTTATTAACTCTGCTCTTGTACTCAAATTACCTAACATGAATCTTAGTCCTGGCTTTTTCTGTAGATGCCTGCTTTTCTCAGTACACTGTCATCTTTGCATTGGCCACACTCGTCTTACTCGTGGGTATCTGATGGAAAGGCACCCTGTTCCTCTCTGTGAGAAGTGTCAGGTTCCAGTATCGGTTAGCCACATTCTGTTAGACTGCCCTCTCTATCAACGAGCACGCAGGATTTACCTCCGTCGTCGTCTCCGCTCTCCTACTTTCTTTACCTTCCCTTCTTGCTGATGGACCCTCCTTTAATCCTGACTCTCATTGACTTCTTGACGACTGATTTACTCCACAAACTCTGATGATGATACCTTTCGCACTCCCCTCAGCCCTTTCTACCTCAATCTTTTGCTACCCTCTACCCTTTCGCTATCCACTGACCCGCTGTTCTCCGTAACCTACTACTCGTCCCTCTCCCTTTTGCCACCTGATACCCTCGCTTCCTTCCTGCCCTGCACTGCTGTATAGGCCTTGTGGTTTAGTGCTTCTTTTTGATTATAATAATAATAATACACTGTCAAATGCTGTAATCTTAAGAACACGCATTACTTGTCCCTTTGTCTACCCCCTTTTGACCTGTCTTCTGCATTTAGTTTGCAATTCCTGTCCTGTCATTCCTCTCACTTGTCTTTAGTAGCTTAGGTCAGTAGGTCTGTTAGAGTTTTCTGCTTTATTAGGGACAGGTGCTAGTGTTGAGATACTGATCTCCACCTGGAGATATAATTTATTCGATACTCTATCACTAGTCTTGCCCAGTGGGCGCCATTGGATTTGTAATCCTCTGTTCACCACTATTTTTACCATTACTACCACTGCTGCTAACATTACTACTAAGTGGGTAGTAGTATATACTATGTGGAAGTACTGTAAATTGTCATTTCTAGGCATGCAAGTGGGCTAATTAAGAGATTTTAGTGGGCGCTGACAATATAAGCTACATTAAAGATATAAATACACAGTGATCATTACCTTTAGTAACGGGTAATACAGTGGACCCCCACCTAACGATATTAATCCGTTCCTGAGAACTCATCGTAAGCTGAAATTATCGTTAGCCGAATTAATTTTCCCCATAAGAAATAATGGAAATAAAATTAATCCGTTCCTGACACCCCAAGTATGAAAAAAGAAAATTTTTTACCACATGAAGTATTAATTTTAATACACACAAACTGAAGAAGATGTGCACAATTACTACTCTACTAAGAATAGAATACATGACACTTACCTTGATTGAAGATCTGGTGATTGATGGGATGGGAGGAGGGGAGTGTGTGGAAGTTATTGTTTAGAAGGGGAATCCCCTTCCATTAGGACTTAGGGTAGCAAGTCCTTTTCTGGGGTTACTTCCCTTCTTTTAATGCCACTAGGACCAGCTTGAGAGTCACTGGACCTCTGTCGCACAACAAATCTGTCGATAGAGCTCTGTACCTTCAGTTCCTTTAAGACTTTCCTAAAATGGGCCATAATATTGTCATTGTACAGGTTGCCAACACGGCTTGCAGTAGCTGTGTCAGGGTGATTTTCATCCATAAAGGTTTGCAGTTCAACCCACTTTGCACACATTTCCTTAATCTCTCTTTTCAATTCCATATTAATTCTCGCCCTTTTTACCACAGGGATGGCACTAGAAGCTTTCTTGGGGTCCATGGTGACTTATTTTGCAGTTACAAGCACTAAAAACACTGGGATAATGTTAAATGTACTGAATGTATGCATAGATGCGACCACACTGGCTGGCTTGTAAATACTAGCGCTGAGGCCACACGTGGGACACGTCCCGGACGAATCACGTAAGGCGAGTTTTTTTTATCGTGAGGCTAGGCAAAATTTTTGCATTCAAGTGCTTCGTATGGCGGATTTAACATAACGCGATGCGTTCGTAAGGCGGGGGTCCACTGTACCTAGTTTCCTAAAACTGATTAGTATGCAAGTAACCCAAACTTGGGAATGTAATGGAAATGGTATAAAATACTGACAATGGAAAAATAAACACGTAAGCAGTATAATGTGATCCGTAAGGATCACATTATGCTGCTTGTGTTTATATTTCCATTGGGAAAGTAATGACATATTGGTCTGATTTGGACCATTAATTGCACTACTGACAACACAGGAGCGACTGGGAGGGTTTTGAATTAATTTTTGCTGTTTAGTTGTGGTCTACAGTTTGCTAATGGACTATTAATGAGAATTAAACACGTGCTGTACAGTACCTCACTGTAGTTAAACAAATTTCAGGCATAACTAAAATAAATTACTTAATATAGCACATGTATATACTGATGCATATCAGTCAACCTCCCATCTCCAAGAAAAACCTTCCTGTTCTTAGCCATTATGAATAAGCATTACAACTAGTACTACCAATTGTTGGTTTATTCATCATTTCCCAATGAAATAGGTCAGGTGAGGATAATGTACATAAGGCAAAATAGAAAAGGGGGAGGAGTGGAGAATGTTGAAACAAAACCACTCATTTTCTTAATGCTTGTGAATTGTGATGCCTCAGATTTTCGAAATCAATATTTACCGTTTTTTTTTTTTCTTTTTCCCCTCCCTCGTGGCTTGTGCGAAAATATTCCAGAAGTAAAGCGCCTCTGAAGTAATTTTTTTTTTTATGTAATTACCATTGAACAATTGTCAGATGTCATTATTTGTAGACCGATTCCAAGATGCTTGTTTATACTGTTTATATCATAACATTTTCTGAATAATGCTTAAAAAGGTAGAGCAGCTTATAACATTTAACAAGCCTTTATTGCTAATGCAGAGCAGTAAACTTTGCTATTCTTATACTGTACATAAATACAATAGAGAAAAGTTTGGAAGTGCATAATTTTGATTAGGTAACTGAAAATATAATCACATGGTGGAACAGCAATCTGCATAAATAATTTTTGAACACACTGCTAACAGTGTGGGAATCAAGCCCACAATATATTCAAGTCCAGATAGCTTTATATCACTACCATTTTTATTAAAAAAAAAAAATGGCAAGAGGGGGGGGGAGAGGTTATGGTAATCTTGCAAGTTATACCTTAATCCAAATGCTTTTAGTAATGTAAATTTTCCATAAACAGCAATGTTCACTGTTTCTGCTTTTCTGTCTGTCTTGGTAATTCCTCTTTTCTTATACATAGAATGAAGCTCAGGTAATCTCTCCAAAAATACTTAACGTTTCTCAGTTGTTTCTCACTAGTTCAGAAACCATGAGCTGTTTTCATGATCTTTGTGTGTGTGTGTTTCTACCCTCATGTCTTGTGCACCATTAACTGGGTCCCAGAGATTTTCTGGGACTATAAGTTAGTACCATGAAGATGGCAGATGGCGCAGAGACCCGGCACAGATGAGTCTTTCGTGTTTTTTTTTTTTCTTACTGTACTGTATTGCCATAGCTGTATTTACAGCTCTGCGTTTTGGACATTGTGAGGCTGCTGTATTAGTCTTAATAAAATTTTGAATTAATATATTTTTTGTTTATCCACAGCATTGGTCACTTCGAGTTTGTGTATTATTGTAACAATTAATTTGTTGCTTCATATGTTTTTGGGTAATAAAAGTAGATAAAAGTATTTTGAAGTTTTATAAGACCCATATTTTTTGAATGCAGGTTTTTATATTCCTGGAAAATGACATTGAAAATACCTACATTTCCTAAATTGGTCACTTGCTCAATTCACCTTGTCGTCCCCTTGCTAGCCTAAACTAGTGCTGTATGACCCTTATGGTTACTGTGCCTCTGCAAATATGCCCTTCAAATTCACCTTGCTCTTCCTCAGTTCAACTGTCTATAATAATTCATGGGGAGAACCAAACCTGTATGGGTAATGCAATACATAGGGGAGGGGGGGATAGAAAACTTAGATTTCAAGGAATTGGAGGACAGATCCAATTTTAATTTACTGTCCTTCTGAAGTGACATCTCAAAATACTGGTGAGGGGGCTACTGATTTAAAGAATTAGGCTCTTCTTCCTGTTGTATTTAATCAGGGTGCTGTATGGCCCTCTTACATTTTAATACCACCTAAATACGTACTCGACCTGGGCAGACCTTAGTAATTTTTACATTGTCCACCTTCTCTGTATATACTTTCACCCACTAACAGCCATTAAAGCAGAGCACAGTGATCTTGAAATCACAACAGTAGTTGACCATTCCAACACTTGTCCTCCCAATGGCTCTCCTTAATACATTTATAATTCAATCAGTTCATTCTAAGTATAATTTTCTAGTAATGATTTGCAATGCTGAATGAACCACAGGTTTAGCAGTTTTTGATGAATATAATTGTTACAGCTGGCTAGGTACTACCTAAGCTTTCACATACTGAAGGTCCCTAACAGACTTAAAAGTTCGGTTAATAAATTACCCTAAGCATTCTTACCAAGTACACGGTACACTAAAAGTTAAAGAAAAAATAACATGGTCTGTTTAAAGCAACAGCACAAACTTCATACCATTAATTCAAAAGATAACGGTAAATGTTCAGAAGTCATACAATATACAGAAGTAACATTAAGACTTCAATGGGCTTCTTTTTGTAAAGTAAAAGGACACAAGTGCAACTAATGTGACATTTATTGTGGCAACGTTTCGCTCTCCAGGAGCTTTATCAAGCCATTACAAATGGCTTGATAAAGCTCCTGGAGAGCGAAACGTTGCCACAATAAATGTCACATTAGTTGCACTTGTGTCCTTTTACTTTACATATTGTCGGTAATTCTACCAACTTTATTACAATCGGGCTTCTTTTTGCTGGTGAAGGGCTCATAATCCAAAGGATTAGGAGCTATGGGCACAGCAACAACCCTTTTGGGTTTAGCACTGTCTGATTATACGAGTTATAATAGCCTCTTCCTTGAAAAAATGTATGCGCCATTCCCCAGGCACTGTATGACCCCAATGGGTTTAGCTCTTCCCCCTAAACAGCTACCTACTCCTTCCTGGGAACAAGCCTGAGGACTTTGCAGGCTGAGCCCTGTGTTAGTCTTTTGATTATAATAATAATACTATTGGTACTTTCACAAATTTAATACTTAGTGCAAGGGAATCTAATTCAGCAACACACATTATATAAATCTATAAGAAATTGATAAAAAGGGTGAACACAAATGTGGAATGTGAAAAAAATAATGTAGATTATAAAAAATATTTTCTAATTTACCGATCTTAATATGCTAAGTTAAAGTTCGTCCTAAATATTAGTAATGGCCGACTTTTAAAAATGTATAATTTGACGTACTGTAATGATAATAGGTCGAGACTGCATATAATTATTGTGATCAGAGTGAAGGATGCATGCTTCCCGAGGACAATTTTTTTTTTTTTTTAATGAAATGAAGATTAAATAACAGGACTTCAGACATTTGCTTTTAACACTGGTAATATAAGCTTCCTACTTTTTAACCAGCAGTATGATTCATGCATTTTCTCTGTATATTCTTCAGTTCTATATAACCCATAGGGATTTAGCCCATCCTTCAAAACGAGTTTCCTCAGTAAAGACCAGCTTGCTACATTACATTTCTGAGCTGATGACCTTCCCTGACCACCATCTCTACCCATTTAAACATCTCTCATGAACCATGTAGTGGAGAATGAATTCAAAGTTTAACATGTTCCATAAATACATCAGTTCCCTGGATTAAGTTTGACGAGTATCAGGTTATCTATAAAGTCATCCTTTCCTTTATCCTAACAAGAGTTCACTCTGAGAAATTACACATCTGTTTTGGAATATATTAATCAAAGTGTAGTATTAAAAAAAAAAAAAAAAAAAAAAAAAAAACACCAACAAAAATCTAAGTCACCAAAATTATTTATTAGTGCCTAATTTGGAAAAAAAAAAAAAAAAGCAAGTCTTGGCTCAAACTGAGAGTCAAGCATTGGATCATCCACTGTCCTTTATCCCTGCAAATCTGGCTAGAACAGAATCTACAGTATAGCAATTCTAAAAATCTCTTGCTAACATTTTTCTACCCCCTCATTTCTGGAGGGTTTTAGATTTAAAAAAAGAATTAAACTACATACATACATACTATATATATATATAACAAACATGAAAGCTTTGTTGTAAGAGTATCACTTCAGAGGTTTAAGTCTAAATTATACTATCACAGTCTTTAGCTATTTCTTTAACCTCAATTTCATTACTCAAACTCAAAGCTGTGACCTAAAGAAAACATCTTTGGAAATAACATATATAAAGATCATTTTCAGAGCTATAACTGATATGGCAAAGAGAGTTGAAATTATAAATTTAAATTAGCTCATACCATATTTGAAAATGGGCAAAATACTGCTTCAGGAGTGAATGGTAAGGTTCTATACAATCTATACAGGCATTGTGACCTTTACACCTACCCCTGAATATAACAATCCAACACCCATACCTAATCCTTTAATATATTTTATTTAAAAACTATTCATTGATAGAGAGCTGTATAGTCCTTGTGGCTTAGCGCTTCTTTTTGATTATAATAATAATCATTGATAGAGAATTATGTTTTCCAACAACTTAATCACAGTAAGAAATTTTAAGATACAATTTATGTTAGATTTTCTATTCTTCTTCTGTTGCACTTTGTCATATGTGATCTAAATTGAATCCTCACTTACCTGGACTATTTAATATACATAACCCCTAATGAGCTTTTAAGCCCACAATCTCCTCCATCATCTGTAGGGCTGTGTCACTAACATCAGCTGGAATCTGAAATGTTTATTGAATGTTGAGTTATGCAATATTCTTATGTTCATTATTCTTACCCTTTCATTAGTCCTTTTTCCAATTCTAATTTTTATGGGGGGGGGGGTGATGGTATTTACTGGTATTATATGAAAAAGGGGATGGTAATTATTGGTATCATAAATCCCCCAGGTGCTGTGTGACCAACAGATTTTGCACTTCCCATGAATGCAAGCTTATGTGCTGTACAGGCATTATAGGAAAGAGTAAAATTATGTTCACTTAATTTGCTACATACTGCCCAGGTGTGTCAACCAACTTTTGCAACTACCCTCTCCTCCCTTAAAAAAAAAAAAAAAAAAAGCAACTTTGATGACAATTCCCACTTTACATCAGATTCATTGTCTTTTAACCCACATCTCTTCTAAACCCCTAGCATTCATTCCTTTTACAGGCTTATCTATAAATATTTTAAACCATGGAGACATCACACACCTGTCAAAGGCCTACTGTTACTGGGAAGTACTATTGCCCTCGTCTCTGTAATCCAACCCAAGCACCTCTGTATACATAAAAAAATCTACTGCTTTTAGTAACCGATTACCTACTTCATACGTCTGCCACACTGCTTCCCTATCTAAATCCATAAATGCAACAAACAGTTCCTTACTTTTAAGTACTGTTCACTTGTATGCTTCACTGTAAACACTTGGTCTACATATCCCCTACCCTTCCTAAATCATCCTTGCTGTTCTTGGGATTCTAGTTTCTGGCTTACCCCTAACCCATTCAATAATGATACCAAAATATATGAATATACAGTGGTACCTTGAGCTATGAACTTAATTCGTTCTAGAAGGCTGTTAGAGTGCCGATACCGAACGAATTTGTTCCCATAAGGAATAATGTAAATTACATATATTAGTCCGTTTCAGACCCCTAAAAATACACTTACAAAAGCACTTCCAAAAATACACTTACAAAAGCACTTCCAAAAATACACTTACATAACTGTTCAAACTGGGAGCTGTTCGAAAATCGAGGTACCACTGTATAGGGTATGATAGAAGAGAAAGGTTGCGTATGGGAGATTTTTACAGAGCAGAAGTGATATAAGAAGGGTGGGGTGTATGGAGAGTAGAAGAGGTGAGGGAGTGCAAAAGGAGAGCAAATGATAGTGAGTGAGGCACTGTCGACAAATTTTGCCGAGAATAAGAAAAAAAAATTTTGGAGTGCTGCGATAAATAGGTTAAGAGCCTAGGGAATGAAAGGATTTCACAGTTAAAAACAAATGGGGGAGTTAGTAGATGGGGAGTTGGAAGTATTGGGAAGAGGGTGGGAATATTTTGAGGAACTGTTAAATATTGATGAAGAGAGGGAGACAGTAATTTCTTGCATTGGCCAGGAGTGAAGAGGCAGGTGCAAGTGTGGGGGAGGTGCACGAGGCATTAGGTAGAATTAAATGGGGTAAAGCAGCTGGAACTGATGGGATCAAAACAGAAATGTTATAAACAAGGGGATGGGCATTATAGTGTTGGAGTGGTTGTTCAATAAATGTTTGAAAGGGAAAGGTACCTAGGGACTGGCAGAGTGCATATAGTTCCTTTATGTAAGGGAAAGAGGGACAAAAGAGACTGTTTAAAATTATAGAGGAGTTACTAAATGGAGAGTTAGAAGTATCAGGAAGATGGAGGGAATATTTTGAAGAATTGTTAAACGTTGATGAAGATAGGGAAGCTGTGATTTCGTGTACAGGGTAAGGAGGAATAACATTTTGTAGGAGTGACGAGCATGTTGTGAATGTAGGGGAAGTTTACGAGGCAGTGGGTAGAATGAAAGGGGGGTAAAGCAGCGATTGATGGGATCAAGATAGAAATGTTAAAAGCAGGTGGGGACATAGTTTTGGAGTGGTTGGTGCTTTTATTTAATAAATGTATGGAAGAGGGTAAGGTACCTAGGGATTGGCAGAGAGCATGCATAGTTCCTTTATATAAAGGCAAAGGGGACAAAAGAGAATGCAAAGTTTATAGGGTAATAAGTCTGTTGAGTATACCTGGTAAAGTGTATGGTAGTTATTATTGAAAAAATTAAGAATAAGAGGGAGAGTAGGATAGCAGATGAACAAGGAGGCTTTAGGAAGGGTAGTGTGTGTGTAGACCAAGGGTTTACTGTGAAACATTTAGGTGAACGATATTTAGATAAGGATAAAGAGGTTTTTTGGGGTATTTATGGATTTGGAAAAGGCATATGACAGGGTAGATAGGGGGGGTAATGTGGCAGATGTTACAAATGTATGGAATAGGAGGGAGGTTATTGAAAGCGGTGAAAAGTTTTTACAAGGATAGTGAGGTTCTGGTTAGAATATGTAGGAGAAAGGGAGATTATTTCCCAGTAAAAGTAGGCCTTAGACAAGGATGTGTGGTGTCACCATGGTTGTTCAGCGTATTTATAGATAGGGTTGCAAGACAAGTGAATGCTCGGGTGCTGACGAGGTTTGGGGTTAACCCTTTGACTGTCGCGGCCGTATATATGTGTCTTACGAGGTACCGTGTTTGACGTCTATATACTCAAATTCTAGCGGCTTCAAATCAAGCAGGCGAAAGCTGGTTGGCCTACATGTGAGAGAATGGGTCTGTGTGGTCAGTGTGCACCATATAAAAAAAAAAATCCTGGAGCACGCAGTGCATGAGAAAAAAAAAATCAGTTTTTTTTTTTTAATTAAAATGCCGACTTTGTGGTCTATTTTCGTATAGTATTTATGGTTGTATTCTCATTTTCTTGGTCTCATTTGATAGAATGGTAAACATATTATAGAAATAGAGGTGATTTTGATTGATTTTACTATAAAAACCTGGAAATGGAGCTCAAAATAGGGGAAATGTTTGATTTTTGCCAATGTTCAAAAGTAAACAAATGATGTCATTGTCCAATAAATGTCCAACTAGCCATTCTAATATGCAGTCATGAATGGGTTGATGTTATTTATACAATTATTACAGTATTGCAGTAGTCTGCATAATATTAAGTCTTCAATTTTTTGTTTGAATAAAAATTCAAAATAGAAAACCCAAGAGTGATATTAGAGGGGGCAGGGAATGGAGAGATGAGTACTGATGAACAAAAAATGTTATTTTAGAGCCAGGAATGTCTGCATTGTTCATTCTGGACCTTATTTTGAAATTGTCATTTTTTAATTTTCATGAAATTGGCCAAATTGCAAATTTCTGACCAAATTATTGGGTAGTTGAAATCAGTAAATAGGCAGTTTCTTGTAGTCAATCGATAGAAAAAAAATGGAGTTCTAAAGAAATAGCTACGAGTTTAGTCGACTGGAACAACAGAATTAGCCGAAAATAGGGCTCAAAGTGGGCGGAATCGCCGATTTGTAAATATCGCCAAGGTCACTAACTTTGCGAGAGCATAACTCCATCAGTTTTCTATCAAATTTCGCTTTTTTTGGTGTCATTACAATCGGGAAAAGATTCTCTATCATTTCATAAGAAAATTTTTTTTTTTTTTTTTTTTTAAATTTTGCGACACCAGGAGACACCTCAGGATTGGGGGTTGCGACAGTCAAGTGGTTAAAGAATCTAACAAAGTGGGAGTTGTCACAATTGATCTTTGCTGATAACACTGTACTTTTGGGAGATCCTGAAGAGAAGTTGCAGAGGTTGATGAACTGGGTAGGATATGTAAAAGAAGAAAATTGAAAGTGAATATGTATAGGAAAGAGTAAGGTGATGAGGATAAAAAAAAATTAGGTAACGAAAGACTGGATATCAGGTTGGAGGGAGTGTGTTTGGAGAGGCGAATGTATTCAGATGTTTAGGAGTGGACGTGTCAGATGGGTCTATGAAAGACGAGATGAATCGCAGAATTGACTAGGGGAAAGAGGCAAGTGGTGCACTGAGGAGTCTGTGGAGAGAGAGAGAGAGAGAGAGAAGGAAAAAAAAAAAAAAAAAAAACTGTCCACAGAAGCAAAGAGGGAAATGTATGAGATTAGTTATACCAACACTCTTATATGGGTGTGAAGCATGGGTGGTGAATGTTGCAACAAGGAGAAGGCAATGTGTGGTGTAAATATAATTCAGAGAATTTGTAGTTTGGAAATTAGGAGGAGGTGCAGGATTACCAAAACTATTATCCAGAGGTGGTTCGGACATGTAGAGAGGGTGGAACAAAATAGAATGACTTAGTGTATAAATCTGTAGTGGAGGGAAGGCAGGGTAGAGGTCAGCCTAGGAAAGGTTGGAGAAAGGGGATAAAGGAGATTTTGTGTGCAAGATGCTTGGATTTCCAGCAAACATGTGTGAACATGTGAACATGATAGATAGGAGCGAATGGAGACAAATGGTTTTTAGAACTTGACGTGCTGTTGGAGTGTGAGCAAGGTACTGTTTATGCAGGGATTCAGGGAAACCGGCAGGCAAGATTTGAGCCCTGGAGATGGGAAGTACAGTACCTGCACTCTGAAGGAGGGGTGTTAATGTTGCAGTTTTATAACTGTAGTGTAGGCATGCCTCTGGCAAGACAGTAATGGAGTGAATGATCATGAAAGTTTTACTATTTTGGGCCACCCTACCTTGGGAGACAGCCGATGTGTTAATAAAAATGTTGACCGAGTATATCAGGTAAAGTGTATGGTAGGGTTATTATTGAAAGAACTAAAGGTAAGACAGAGCAGTACTGCAGATGAACAAGGTGGCTTTAGAATGGGTAGGGGATGTGTAGATCAAGTGTTTACATTGAAGCATGTAAGTGAATACAGTGGAACCTCAAAAATCGAACTGCTCCCAACACGACCAATTATGTAAGTGTATTTTTGTAAGTGCTTTTATAAGTGTATTTTTGAGGGTCTGAAATGGACTAATCTAATTTACATTATTCCTGATGGGAATAAATTCATTCGGTAAAGGCACTCGAACAGCCTTCTGAACCGAAGAAAGTTCGATATTTGAGGTTCCACTGTATTTATATAAAGGAAGGAAAGTTTCCACTGCATTTATGGATTTAGAAAAGGCATATGACAGGGTGGATAGGGAAGAAATGTGACAGATGTAAGTGTATGGAATAGGTATTAAGTTATTAAATGCTTTAAAAAGTTTTTATGGGGATAGTGAGGCTCAGGTTAGGGTGTGTAGGAGAGATCACTTTCCAGTAAAAGTAGGCCTTAGACAGGGGTGCGTAATGTCACCATGGTTGATTAACATATTTATAGATGGAGTTGTAAAAGAAGTAAATGCTAGGGTGTTGGGGAAAGGGGTGGGATTAAATTATGGGGAATTAAATACAATATGGGAATTGTCAGTTACTTTTTGCTGATGATACTGTGCTTATGGGAGATTCTAAGAGAAGTTGCAATGGTTAGTGGACAAGTTTGGGAGTGTGTGTAAAGAAAGATGAAAGTGAACATTGAAAGAGTTAGGTGATGAGGGTATCAAACGAGTAAGGTAAAGGAAAACTGGATATTGCATTGTAGGGAGGGAGTATGGAAGATTTTTTTTTTTTTTTTTTTTAACCCTTTCAGGGTCCGTCCCGTAGATCTACGGCTTTACGTTCAGGGTCCAAACCGTAGATCTACGCCATGAGCTCAGCTCACTCTGATAAACTGTGAGTGGTACATTTGGGCCTAGATATGAGAGAATACATCTATGTGGTATGTGTGCACCACATAAAACAGATCCTGCAGCACACTGTGCATAATGAGAGAAAAAAAATGAAATCATGATTTTTCGATTAAAACAGCAACTTTGCAGTGTTTTTTCGTATGTTTTTTATAGTTGTATTTGCGATTTCTTGGTCTCATTTGATAGAATGGAAGACATATTACAGAAATAGAGATGATTTTGATTGGTTTTAGTATTGGAAATGGCTTGAAACTGAGCTCAAAGTAGCGGAAATGTTAATTTTTTGCGATATTCAAGAGTAAACAAACGACCTCACACGTCTAATACACATCAGCTGGTGGGTCTAATATACATTCACAAATATGGTGATGATATTTATACAATTATTACAGTATTGCATAACAGTAAATCTTCTATTTTTTGGTGTGAATAAAAATTCATTATGTGAATAAAAAATCAAAATGGAATTTATTTGTAAAGCCTCAAAACATTAACTAATGAACAGAGGAAATGTTAGTTTAGTGCCAGGAATGCCTACATTGTTCATTCTGGACCCTATTTTGAAATTGGAATATTTGAACTTTGTGTTAAATTGGCCAAATTAACAATTTCCGATCACTTTATTTTGTAGTTGAAACAGTTGACTTGGCGATTTCTTGTCCTCAATCGATAGAATAGAAGTAATACTAGTGAAATAGCTAAGAATTTGGTTGATTGGAATAATGTAATTGGCCTAAAAATGGAGTCAAAGTCGGCAAAATCGCCGATTCGTAAATATCGCTGACACATCAAAATTCGCGAGAGCATAATTTCGTCAATTTTCCACCAATTTTCGTACTTTTTGTTTTATTACCTTCACAAAAAGATTCTCTACGATTTCATAAGAAAAAATAACAAATTTTTTTTTTGAAATATCTTGGACACTGGTGCGTGACTCCAGATTTGGGCCTTGGACCCTGAAAGGGTTAACAAGTCGGCCGTCTCCCACCGAGGCAGGGTGACCCAAAAAGAAAGAAAATTCTCAAAAAGAAAATATTTTCATCATTCAACACTCACCTCACACATATAATCACTGTTTTTGCAGAGGTGCTCAGAATACAACAGTTTAGAAGTACAGTGGACCCTCGACTAACGATATTAATTGGTACCCCGAGTACGAATATCGTTAGTAGAGTTTTTTTTAGTATTAGTCGAGGCAACATGTTAGCGTTAACATGTATCGTTAGTCGGATTTAACATTAGACGATGCCATCGTTGGTCGAGGGTCCACTGTACTGTATATATGTATAAAGGTACACAACATTTCCCTCCAAACTGCCAATATCCTAAACCCCTCCTTTAAAGTGCAGGCATTGTACTTCCCATTTCCAGGACTCAAGTCTGGCTATATAAAATAACCGGTTTCCCTGGATCCCTTCACTAAATATTACCCTGCTCACACTCCAACAGCTCGTCAGGTCCCAAGTACCCTTCATCTCCATTCACTCCTATCTAACATGCTCATGCACGCTTGCTGGAAGTCCAAGCCCCTCGCCCACAAAACCTCCTTTACCCCCTCCCTCCAACCTTTTCGAGGATGACCCCTACCCGGTCTTCCTTCCCCTACAAATTTATACGCTCTCCATGTCATTCTACTCTGATCCATTCTCTCTAAATGACCAAACCACCTCAACAACCCCTCTTCAGCCCTCTGACTAATACTTTTATTAACTCCACACTTTCTCCTAATTTCCACACTCCAAAATTTCTGCATAATACTTACACCACACATTGCCCTTAGACAACAGGACATCTCCACTGCCTCCTTGCTGCATTTACAACCCAAGCTTCACACCCATATAAGAGTGTTGGTACTACTATACTTTCATACATTCCCTTCTTTGCCTCCATGGATAACATTTTTTGCCTCCACATATACCTCAATGCACCACTCACCTTTTTTCCTTTATCAATTCTATGATTAACCACATCTTTCATAAATCCATCCACCGACACATGAACTCCCTAATATCTGAAAACATTCACTTCTTCCATACTCCTCCTCCCCAATTTGATATCCAATTTTTCTTTATCTAAATCATTTGATACCCTCATCGCCTTACTCTTTTCTATGTTCACTTTCAACTTTCTACCTTTACACACACTCCCAAATTCGTCCACTAACCTTTGCAATTTTTCTTTAGAATCTCCCATAAGCACAGTATCAGCAAAAAGTAACTGTCAATTCCCATTTTGAATTTGATTCCCCATAATTTAATCCCACCCCTCTCCTGAACACCCTAGCATTTACTTCTTTTACAACCCCATCTATAAATATATTAAACAACCATGGTGACATTACACATCCCTGTCTAAGACCTACTTTTACCAGGAAGTAGTCTCCCTCTCTTCTACACACCCTAACCTGAGCCTCACTATCCTCATAAAAACTCTTAACCGCATTTAGTAACTTACCACCTATTCCATATACTTGCAACATCTGCCACATTGCTCCCCTATCCATTCTATCATATGCCTTTTCTAAATCCATAAATGCAATAAAAACTTCCCTACCTTTATCTAAATACTGTTCACATATATGCTTCAATGTAAACACTTGATCTACACATTCCCTACCCACTCTAAAACCTCCTCACTCATCCGCAATTCTACATTCTGTCTTACCCCTAATTTTTTCAATAACAACCCTACCGTACACTTTTCCTGATATACTTGGTAAATTTATTCCTCTATAATTTTTACAATCTCTTTTGTCCCCCTTCCCTTTATATAAAGGGAGTAGATTTGTCAGCAGATGGGTTTATGAAGGACGAGGTTAACCACGAATGCTGCAGCAAGGAAGAGGCTGGAGGCAGTGGAGATATCGCATCTAACTGCAATGTGTGGTGTAAATATTATGCAGAGAATTCGTAGAGTGGAAATTTGGAGGTGGCGTGGAGTTACAAAAAGTATAATTCAGAGGGGTTATTGAGGTGGTTTGGTCATTTAGAGAGATGGAGCAAAATAGAATGACTTGGAGGGTGTATAAATCTGTAGTGGAGGGGAGGAAGGGAAGGGGTCATCCTAGGAAAGGATGGAGGAATGGGGTAAAAGAGGTTTTGTGTGCAATGGGCCTGGATATGCATCAGGCACGTGTGAGCGAGTTAGATAGGAGTGAATGGAGACTAATGGTTTTTGGGACCTGACAAGCTGTTGGAGTGTGAGTAGGGTAATATTTTGTGAAGGGATTCAGGGAAACCAGTTAGCTGGACTTGAGTCCTGGAGGTGGGAAGTACAATGCCTGCACTGTAAAGAAGGGGTTTGGGATATTAGCTGTTTGGAGTGACATCTAAACTGTCATATCTAGGCACCTCTGCAAAGACAGTGATTACGTGTGAATGATGGTGAAAGTGTTTCTTTTCCTGGGTCTCCCTGCTTCAGCAGGAGACAGCAAGCGTGTTAAAAAAAAAAATATGTATGCAGAACAAACCACACAGGGATGGAAATCTTGAGCTCTAGCTCTTTCACACACTTGTGCATCATCAGTAACTATGCAATGCTGCAAGACAGCAACAAACAGGAGGGGAAATTCTCAGAGGCAAGGCAAAAAGTATCATGTTCTGCACCGAGTTCACCTGTTTGCGATAGTATTACACATTTTATAACACACACAGCAGAGGTGGGGCCAGGAGCTATGACTGTACCCCAGCAACCACAGACAAATAGGCAAGTACATGTGTACACACATGCACATGTGCTGTTTTGGGTATTCAAGTGCACTTCATAATTTTCCCTCAAGTCTGGTGTCTCAGGAGGAGAAAACCCCATAATTCAGTTTTTTCTGGGTACAGTCACCTAATATGCTTTTTAAAGTTGATGAAAATTTTATCCACAAGGAAGCAATGAATCAGTAAGAGTTATGTAGTACCCGAGTTATGACAGGTAACCAAGTTTGAGCTAAAGGAGAAGACAGCTCTAATTCTCTGGATCATGAGCCCTTCACTAACATCAAGGCATCACCCAAGGGAGAAGTTAGTTAAGAAGAATAATTGATAGCTAAAAATCAATAAAATATTGATACAGTATACAACAAATAAGACTAATTTCATTGTACATTCAAGAATCCTCTTACCATATGCCCGGCATTCAATACCCAGTAGAATGCAAAGTTCTTGAAGGATTTGGAAAATGCAAGTGTGGCCCCCGAGGGACCATCAATGGGCTTTCTGACAGCGTTAACCCAAGGTTTAGTGCCAGCCCAGTGCAGATTTTCTACCCACTTCTGTGCACCTGTATAAGCAAATTACATAAAAATTTGTAAAACCTTTAGACATGTACTTATACAATAATACTGTATGTATTTTATCAATTCCTTTCATATATAGACCATTTAATACCTAAACTATAATTATGAAGTTCAATGCTGTAAATAAATTATGTTCTACAATAGTGAACTTTAAATCTACAATCTGAAATGTACCATAAAAAATGTGAATCCTAAAATGAGTCAAACTACTACAATAAAAATATACATGTTACAAATTAAACTGTGTGAAGTACAGTAGTGTGTACCTTATTAATATATAAGCTACATTCTTTTTACCATATAACCCTAGCATAGCACTTATATCCCATTTGTATCCTCACACAGTGAACATCTTCCAAACTATAGTTGTGATCTTATTTTAGTATTTAACACAATGCCCTTCTCCCACCAAGACAGGGTGGTCCAAAAAAGAAAAACTTTCATCATTCACTCCATCACTGTCTTGCCAGAGGTGAGCTTACACTACAGTTATAAAACTACAACATTAACACCCTTCCGTAAAATGAATCCACTGGCCACATTTTATCTTATTCTTTCTTACCCACCCCTTGACTTAATAGGCTTGTTATAAGTTTTAAACACTGGCCATTTTCCATGTGGGCAGTGACCCCAAAATAGAATATATTCATCACTAACTTCCTAGCTGTCCTTTAACCCTTGGAGGGTCGACAGGCCCTCTCCGAGACTCGTTCTCAGGGTCGGCCAAATTTAAAAAAAAAAAAAAAAATCTTATGAAAGGATAGAGAATCTTTTCCCGATCATAATGACACCAAAAGTATGAAATTTGATGGAAAACTTACGGAATTATGCTCTCGCGAAGTTAGTGGTCTCGGCGATGTTTACGCATCGGCGATGGAAAACTTACGGAATTATGCTCTCGCGAAGTTAGTGGTCTCGGCGATGTTTACGCATCGGCGATTTTGCCCACTTTGAGCCCCATTTTCGGCCAATTCCACTGTACTAGTCGACAAAATACATGAATATTTCGCTAGAACTCCATTTTTTCTATCGAATGAGAGCAAGAAACCACCCATTTACCAATTTCAACTATCCAGTACAATGGTCAGAATTTAGCAATTTTGCCAATTTCACAAATTTCAAAAGATGCCAATTTCCAAATAGGGTCCAGAATAAACAAGAAAGACATTCCTGGCACTAAAATGACATTTCCTCTGTTCATTAGTCACATCTCAAGGCCCCTCTTACATTCTTTTGCTTTCCACTTTGAATTTTTATTCTCACTCAAAAAATAGAAGATTTACTGTTATGCAGACTACTGCATTATTAGTGTAAAAAATGGTATAAATAATATTGGCGCACTTGCAAAAGAATTTTAGACTCACCAGTTGACGTGTATTGGACGCTTGGCATGATTTGTTTACTTTTGAACTTTGGTAAAAATCGAACATTTCTGCTACTTTGAGCTCAATTTCAAGGTACTTTTCATTGTAAAACCAGTCAAAATCATCTCAATTTCTGTAATATGTCTTCCATTCTATAAAACGAGACCAAGAAAACTAAGAATACAACAATAAATACCACACGAAAATACAGTGCAAAGTTGCTGTTTTATTCAAAAAAAAAAAAAAAAAACGGTCAGTTTTTTTTTTCCCATTATGCACTGTGCTGCAGGATTTTTTTTATACTGTGCACACTGACCACAAAGACCCATTCTTTTATATGTAAGCCTACCAGCTTTCTCGCACTAGATCTGAGGGCGCTAGAATTTAGGCGTACTAGTACGTCAAAAACCCTGGGTCGTAAGCCGTACTAGTACGGCCGAAACCCTCAAAGGGTTAATAAGTACACAGACCTTACAATCCAATTACCCATTAACCTACAATGCATCTTCACCCATCTTATAAAAAGCATGATCACTTTCCTCTAAAACTTGTGTCTGAAATACCTTAAGTATCATCATGCTAAAGCACAGTGTCAATTCCCATACAACCAATTGCTTCCACTTGCCCATCTAACACAGGAGGCTTCACCCACCTTCACATCCTCATATCAAACATACCCTACACTCTGTTTACCTTCATTTAACGTATCTTAATCTATTCTTTCTAAATGACATTCATTTTAGCTCCTCTTCCATTTCTTGAATTATATCTTTCATACCTCTAGGCTTCAAATTTATTCACCAGTTATCTGGCTAATATTTACCAACTGCTAACAGCCTCCTCACTGCACTACCTGATGACTATGTATTATGCCCATGGAACCTTTGTAATGATCCAGTCCCCTTTTTGCATCTATGTGGGTCAACATTTTTAAGCCCCACATACTGCAACATTCACTAAATATCTAAATGCATTCACTTCCTCCATACTCCTTTCCAATCTGATGTCTTTTCTTTCATCACTGACTTTCAGATTTTGTAACCAGATCAAATTACTATTAGATCCTGGGATCATAGTGACTACTGTATTTTTAACATGCCAACAAATATTATAAGCCCCAGACATGAAAATGACAAAAGTCAGTAGAGCAATTTGCTCAATTTGGAGTTGCACCCTGAACAGCACCAGGATGTTCTTGCCTTCCAGGTGACATGTTAGCTCTTATCTAGAATACTGGATTGAGTACTGTACGGTTGATTGTAATGAATTCATAAATGGTCACCAACTACTGTTAATAATGACCCATAATTTAACCCTTTCAGGGTCGAGACTCCTGATCCTGAACTCGCTCTCAGGGTCAAAGAAAAAAAAAAAAATTTCTTATGAAATGATAAGAGAAACTTTTCCTGATGGCAATGACACCAAAATATGAAATTTGATAGAAAACTTACGGAATTGTGCTCTTGTGAAGCGAGTGGTCTCAATGATATTTACACATTGGCAATTTTGTCCACTTTGAGCCCTATTTTCGGCCAATTCCAATGTTCCAGTCGATTAAAATCATAGCTATTTCACTAGAACTCCATTTGTTCTATCAAATGAGTACAAGAAACCGCCCATTTACCAATTTCAACTACCCAACAAAGTGGTCAAAAATTGGCAATTTGGCCAATTTCACACAAATTTCAAAAGATGTCAATTTCAAAACAGGGTCCAGAATAAACAAGACAGACATTCCTGGCACTAAAATAACATTTTCTCTGTTCATCCATCATCTCACGGCCCCTCTTATATTACTCTAGCTTTCCATTTTGAATTTTTATTCTCACAAAAAAAAAAAAAAAAAAAAAAAAAAAAAAAAAAAAATTACTATTATGCAGACTATCGAGTTATTTTAAAAATGGTATAAATAACATCAGCGCACTTGTGAAAGAATATCAGACTCACTAGTTGACGTGTATTAGATGCATGGCGTGATTTGTTTACTCGAACATCGGGAAATATCGAACACTTCCGCTATTTTGAGCTCAATTTTAAGGTACTTTTCATCGTGAAACAAATCAAATTCATCTCTATGTCTGTAAAATATCTTCCATTCTATCAAATAAGACCAAGAAAACAAGAATACAACCATAAATATCATACGAAAATAAACTGCAAAGTCGCTGTTTTAAACCAAAAACGGCTGGAGTTTTTTTTCTCACGATGCACTGCATGCTGCAGGATTTGTTTTTGTACTGTGCACACTGACCATGCAAACCCATTCTTTCATATGTAGGCCTACCAGCTTTCTTCCACTCAATCTGAAGGCCCTAGAATTTACGCGTACAAGTATGACACTGACCTTAGCTCTCAAGCCGTATAAGTATGACACTGACCCTGAAAGGGTTAATAAGCTCATTAATACTTTAATCTGCTTAAGCAACAAATGTTGAAGCCCAGTTCCTGAACCCATTATGTTTTTTTTTTTTCTGCCCACACACTTGGAAGGTCCTGGAGGGATTCATACTAAACCTGTACGTGAAAATCACTTCTTATGAAAGCAAAAGACTCGGCAGGAGATGCAACAATTCCCCGATGAAAAACGGGTGCCATGAGTACACAGAGACAACACAATAAGTGTTTGGGGCCCAAGACTGTTCATCTGCCTCCCAGCATACATAAGGGGGATTACCAATAGACCCCTGGCTTTCTTCAAGAAGGCACTGGACAGGCACCTAAAGTCAGTACCTGACCAACCGGGCTGTGGTTTGTACATCAGCTTGTGTGCGGCCAGCAGTAACAGCCTGGTTGATCAGACCCTGATCCACCATGAGGCCTGGTCTCAGACCGGGCCACGGGGGCGTTGACTCCCAAAACCCTTTCCAGGTAAACACATCAAGTACAAGGTGAATTAAAAATAAACTAATGTTACCTGGAAAACAACCTTGACTAAGTATGCTAATTCTTGTGCTTGGAGACTACATGGGCTTGGAATTTAGTTGTGGTAATATGCTGTAAATTATATAATTTAATCATCTTACTAGTGTGTATTTTTTCTCTTGCACAATCACAAAGTACAGTACATACCTAGGGAAGTGACGATCAGGTCCAGCTGACCATTATAAACAACAACTTTCACTGATGTTGTGTTCAACAGCATCTCCACTGGTGAAAAAAATGTTTACTATGTAATTATTCTATTAAGAGAATAAATAATACGAATTATTAATCTAGCAATTTTAGTTTAATAAACCAGGATGCCTGAAAGGTAAACTAAAACTAACCATGGCCACCTCCAACACCATTAAAAAAGAAGGCAGTTATAGCATTTCAACAATTTTAGCCCACATGATCTTGAAACATGCTTCCCGAAGACCAACTTGCAGTCAAGTGGCAGGCACCCAACTACCACTACAATTAACTCTCCAGTCACTATATATAGCCTGTATTCTCTCACTGCTCTCAGTTCCAGGACTGAAACATCTCCAAAGTTCATGCATTCATGTCTATTTTCCTCCAGACTTGTGTTTCATATCTCCACTAGACCCACCCTCGGTGTGAAAGGTGGAATACAAAGAAATTGCAAAACAAAGAAAAATAAAATTTACACTAGTTTTTCATATAATTTCTAAATTTCAAAATTTCAACAGGTTTTGTGCACAGAAGTTTACACACTTTACAAACACTACTAATAAATCAATTGGAGATTAATTTAAATGGCAATTACTACATTTATACAAGCAATATTTTCTGTAATCGTTATTATGGGAGGTGGGCACCAAAAAACAGCAAAACTCCGTCTTACCACCACATTTGGGAACCACAGAATATTAGCCAGCAAATTTGATCCCATTCTATTACTTTGATGGACTTGAAGTCCTAGTTATGTTCCACCTTAAATGTGTGTATACTAGCTGTAGTATTAATATTTTTATCATTAGTATTAATAATACAGGGGAAAGCTATGTATATATTTACCAAAAATCTCTATGTTAATATTGTCTTCATGGTCTATCTTTAAATATAAGGTTTTACTTTGTGCATACATTATGTATTTGCACCAATATTAAGTGTACACAAATAACCTGCACATAGAAGAGAGGAGCTTACGACGACGTTTCAGTCCGACTTGGACCATTTACAAAGTCACACTAATCAGAAGTGGAGCAGGACGGCTCTATATATATATATATATATATATATATAATATACTAGGTAGTAGGTTGGTAGACAGCAACCGCCCAGGGAGGTACTACCGTCCTGCCAAGTGAGTGTAAAACGAAAGCCTGTAATTGTTTTACATGATGGTAGGATTGCTGGTGTCCTTTTTTCTGTCTCATGAACATGCAAGTTTTCAGGTACGTCTTGCTACTTCTACTTGCACTTAGGTCCCACTGCACATACATGTACAAGCACATATATACACACCCCTCTGGGTTTTCTTCTATTTTCTTTCTAGTTCTTATTCTTGTTTATTTCCTCTTATCTCCATGGGGAAGTGGAACAGAATTCTTCCTCCGTAAGCCATGCGTGTTGTAAGAGGCAACTAAAATGCCGGGAGCAAGGGGCTAGTAACCTCTTCTCCTGTATATATTACTAAATGTAAAAGGAGAAACTTTCGTTTTTCCTTTTGGGCCACCCCGCCTCGGTGGGATACGGCCGGTGTGTTGAAAGAAAGAAAGATATATATAATATATATATATATATATATATATATATATATATATTATATATCCATGGAAGTGAACAGAATTCTTCCTCCGTAAGCCATGCGTGTCGTAGAGGCGACTGAAATGCGGGAGCAAGGGGCTAGTAACCCTTCTCCTGTATATTTACTAATTTGAAAGGAGAAACTTCGTTTCCTTTTGGGCCACCCCACATCGGTGGGATACGGCCCGATGTGTGAAAGTAGATAGATAGATATATATATATATAATAAATATATATATATATTATATATATATATATATATTATATATATATATATTATATTATATATATTATATATATATATATATATTATATATATATATATATATATATATATATATATTTTTTTTTTTTCAACAAGTCGGCCATATCCCAAAAAAGAAAGAAAATCCCCAAAAAGAAAATGCTTTCATCATCATTCAACACTTTCACCACACTCACACATAATCACTTTTTGCAGAGGTGCTCAGAATACAACAGTTTAGAAGCATATACATATAAAGATACACAACATATCCCTCCAAACATATATATATATATATATGGGGCGGCGGCGGCAGCAGCAGTAGCAGAGCACTGTAAGGGAGGTAGGTGCCCACAGAGGTAAACTTGCAGTGCTCCCCTTTCTTTATATTTGACTGGCTCCTCCACCTTAGTTCCCTCCTCCTCCTCTTCTATTACCACCACCACCATCTCCATCTCCTCCTCCTCCATCTCCTCCTCCATCTCCATCTCATCTCCTCGTCCTCCATCCCCTCCTCCATCTCCTCCTCCATCTCCTATTAGTGTGATTTTGTAAATGGTCAAAGTTGGACTGAAACGTCGTCGTAAGCTCCTCTCTTCTATGTGCGGGTTATTTGTGTATCATTCCAGTCACGGTATTGTGCCTTTTTTTATTAATATTAACTGTGCCTGTAAAGTGTACCACCTTTCATGAAGTGGCTTACAAGCCAGAATAATTGCCCACCCCTAGTTTAGACCAGATGATATGGAATAATAGTCCCAATGTATTCTCTCAAAACTGGTACACACTAAACTTACCATTTTTCACAGCTGAATTCATGAAGTCTGCAGCAAGAGCCTTGAACACCAACTGACTTTGTCCACCCCAAGTAACATTCTGTGGGATGACCTTCAGTTTCTCTTTTATTGGCCCATTCATTAAGGCATCCAATACCGCAGAAAACTGACCCACATTAGCATTGTAGAGATGCTCTGTGAATCATACAATTACTGTGTATGCTAAAATGTGTGCAGTTAGGGCAAACCAAAAATAAAAAAAATTAATGATAAAGCCACCCTGCATTGGTGGGAGATGGCCGACGTGTTAAAAAATGAAAATAATAAAAATAATTTTATTTAAGCATGATTATACAGGGATGGGTGACATTTAGTTGTGCATGCAGAAAGCCCATAGTTATGTAAAGAAATTTGGTTGAAAAGACTAGGTAACCATTATAATTCCTAAGGCTTGTATTCTTGTTTGTTATGTATATCGAAAGTCAATCTGAAATTCGAATTTAATGACAGAATTAACATAATTTTGTCCAAAGATGACCCTTCAAGGGAAAGAAGTGCCTTGAGGCTGAAGGGTCTTGGTCCAGATAACTGGAGTAATTCCCTCTTTCCTCAGATCACACCTGATTGCCTTCCATTCCCTAGGCACTGTATGACCATACAGGTTTAGTGCTTCCCCCATAAATAAAATAACAGCATGAAGTTGGAATTTAGTTGACTTGTAGTAAAGTATATTATCTAGCATTATATACACGATGTCCTACAATGGTTAAAAATTTTGGGACAAATTCTGAAACATGATATGAGAAAATTAGGAGTCTAAAGACAATGTTTTTTACAATACCATTTGATGGATGTGAAAGCTTTGAAATTGAATTTTTAACAGAGAAATCCAGGAGTATGATTGTTAAAGCAGGAGGCACTGGGAATTTTTAAATATTTTAATGAAATACATAAAGGAAATTGTATGAAGATGTTGATGAAAGATAGGGAAGCTGTGATTTCGTGTATAGGGCAAGGAGGACTAGCATCTTGTAGGAGTGAGGAAGAGCCAGTTGTGAGTGTGGGGGAAGTTCATGAGGCAGTAGGTAAAATGAAAGGGGGTATTATTATTATTATTATAATCAAAAAGAAGCGCTAAGCCACAAGGACTATACAGCGCTGCAGGGCGGGAAAGGGAAAGCGAGGGCATCAGGTGGCAAAAGGGAGATGGATGAGCAACAGGTTACGGATAACAGCGGGGCAGTGGATGGTGAAAGGGTAAAGGGCAGCAAGAGACTGAACCAGAAAGGGCTGAGGGGAGTGAAAAAAGTATCATCAGAGTTTGTGGAGTAAATCAGTCGTTGTCAAGAAGTCAAATGAGAGAGTCAGGATTAAAGGAGGGGTCCATCAGCAAGAAGGGAAGGTTTAAAAAGAGAGTAGGAGAACGAAGACGACGTTGGAGGTAAATTCTGCGTGCTCGCTGATTAGAGAGGGCAGTCTAACAGAATGTGGCTAATGATACTGGAACTTGACACTGCTCACAGAGAGGAACAGGGTGCCTCTCCATGAGATACCCATGAGTAAGACGAGTGTGGCCAATGCGAAGGCGGGAGAGAGTGGTCTCCCAAACCCCGGCACTGATGACAAGAAGACGGCCAGTAACCTATGCTCGGTTTAATAGAATGAAGTTTGTTACCGAGCAGAGTTGACCAACGTTGTTGCTAACGGGTGCGAAGGTGGGTAGCTATTGCAGCAAAATAGTCCAGAAATGGAACACCTCGATAGGAAATTGGTAGGTCATATACTGCTGACCGCGCAGCAGTGTCTGCCTGTTCATTGCCCTGTACGTCGACATGACCATGAAAGGGGGTAAGGCAGCCGGGATTGATGGGATAAAGATAGAAATGTTAAAAGCAGGTGGGGATATAGTTTTGGAGTGGTTGGTGCAATTATTTAATAAATGTATGGAAGAGGGCAAGGTACCTAGGGATTGGCAGAGAGCATGCATAGTTCCTTTGTATAAAGGCAAAGGGGACAAAAGAGAGTGCAAAAATTATAGGGGGATAAGTCTGTTGAGTATACCTGGTAAAGTGTATGGTAGAGTTATTATTGAAAGAATTAAGAGCAAGACGGAGAATAGGATAGCAGATGAACAAGGAGGCTTTAGGAAAGGTAGGGGGTGTGTGGACAAGGTGTTTACAGTGAAACTTATAAGTGAACAGTATTTAGATAAGGCTAAAGAGGTTTTTGTGGCATTTATGGATTTGGAAAAGGTGTATGACAGGGTGGATAGGGGGGCAATGTAGCAAATGTTGCATGTGTATGGTGTAGGAGGTAGGTTACTGAAAGCAGTGAAGAGTTTTTACGAGGATAGCGAGGCTCAAGTTAGAGTATTTAGGAAAGAGGGAGATTATTTCCCAGTAAAAGTAGGCCTTAGACAAGGATGTGTGATGTCACCATGGTTGTTTAATATATTTATAGATGGGGTTGTAAGAGAAGTAAATGTGAGGGTCTTGGCAAGAGGCGTGGAGTTAAAAGAAAGAATCACACAAAGTGGGTGTTGTCACAGTTGCTCTTTGCTGATGACACTGTGCTCTTGGGAGATTCTGAAGAGAAGTTGCAGAGGTTGGTGGATTAATTTGGTAGGGTATGCAAAAGAAGAAAATTAAAAGTGAATACAGGAAAGAGTAAGGTTATGAGGATAAAAAATGATTAGGTGATGAAAGATTGGATATCAGATTGGAGGGAGAGAGTATGGAGGAGGTGAATGTATTCAGATATCTGGGAGTGGACGTGTCAGCGGATGGGTCTATGAAAGATGAGGTGAATCATAGAATTGATGAGGGGAAAAGGGTGAGCGGTGCACTTAGGAGTCTGTGGAGACAAAGAACTTTGTCCTTGGAGGCAAAGAGGGGAATGTATGAGAGTATAGTTTTACCAACGCACTTATATGGGTGTGAAGCATGGGTGATGAATGTTGCAGCGAGAAGGCTGGAGGCAGTGGAGATGTCATGTCTGAGGGCAATGTGTGGTGTGAATATAATGCAGAGAATTCGTAGTTTGGAACTTAGGAGGAGGTGTGGGATTACCAAAACTGTTGTCCAGAGGGCTGAGGAAGGGTTGTTAAGGTGGTTCAGACATGTAGAGAGAATGGAACGAAACAGAATGACTTCGAGTGTATCAGTCTGTAGTGGAAGGAAGGCGGGGTAGGGGTCGGCCTAGGAAAGGTTGGAGGGAGGGGGTAAAGGAGGTTTTGTGTGTGAGGGGCTTGGACTTCCAGCAGGCATGCGTGAGCATGTTTGATAGGAGTGAATGGAGACAAATGGTTTTTAATACTTGACGTGTTGTTGGAGTGTGAGCAAAGTAACATTTATGAAGGGATTCAGGGAAACCGGCAGGCCGGACTCGAGTCCTGGAGATGGGAAGTACAGTGCCTGCACTCTGAAGGAGGGGTGTTAATGTTGCAGTTTAAAAACTGTAGTGTAAAGCACCCTTCTGGCAAGACAGTGATGAGTGAATGATGGTGAAAGTTTTTCTTTTTCGGGCCACCCTGCCTTGGTGGGAATCAGCCAGTGTGTTAATAAATAAAATAAAAATAAAGGAAATTCATGTGCAGTATTAAGTGTTACGACCGGGCAAACACCAGACAAGCCTCACCCATGACCAGACTCCAGGAGTAGAAAAAAAACTCAGAACTCATTAAAAGTATGTATATCAAAGGTAAGGTATATTGATAAGCAAAAGGTAAGAAAACTAATGATTACCACTTGGTAATTAAATGCTTAATTAATGTTATACAAAAATAGAAATAGCTTAATGTGAAATGTGGTACAGTATATAAAAAAAAAATGAAAATACAGCCTCTCCTCATTTTGCGACTTACTCGTTTACGACTTACTCGTTTACTGACAACTCGGACTTACAATGGGCTCTCCGACCAGTATGCTTACCTAAATAATGTATATTAGAGTTGATTTCCTCTATTCTGTTCATTACAATATACAGTAGACCCATGGTTTTCGCGAGTCTCAATTTTTGTGAATTTTGGTTATCAGCAACTTTTTTCATTAAAATATAGCCTTGGTTTTCGTGCTTTCCTTTGGATTTTGGCGGTTGTATGGAAAGTATCCCAGTGGCCCCGCGCACACAAAGCCTCCCACAGACGCATTCAGAGTCAGTCTGGCATTGTTTCTCGGCGAGTGAGCATCACCCCCTGTATTCATACGAAACATTTCATAATAATGAATGATTTTGTGCTTGCATCTACTAAATAAGCCACCATAAGCCCAAAGAAATCTCCTAGTGCCAGCCCTTTGGTAAAAAAAGTTGTGGAATGCATTGGGGAATTCCATGGGGTTGGATGTGAGTGGCCAGGATGTGGAAGAGTTGGTGGAGGATCACAGTGAAGAGCTAACCACTGAAGAGCTGCAAGAGCTTCATCTGCAACAGCAACAGACTGCCACAGCTGAGGAAAGTGCTTCAGAGGAGGAAGAGAGGGGGAAGAAGGTGCCTTCTTCAGTGATTAAGAACATTTGTGCAAAGGGGAATGAGGTTCAAACTTTTCTGGAGGAACATTACCCTAACAAAGCTGTTGTAGGCCATGTCTGCAACATGTTCAGTGAAAATGCCTTGTCCTATTTTAGGCAAATCTTAAAGAGACGCCAGAAATAGAGCTCTCTGGAACAATTTTTTGAGTGACAGGGGGTCCTGTGACTCAAGATGGTCCTAGTGCCATTAACCCTTTGACTGTTGCAACACCAAATCCTGAAGTGTCTCCTGGAGTTTACCTGGAGAGAGTTCCGGGGGTCGACGCCCCCGCAGCCCGGTCTGTGACCAGGCCTCATGGGGGATCAGAGCCTGATCAACCAGGCTGTTACTGTTAGCTGCACGCAAACCAATGTACGAGCCACAGCCCGGCTGGTCAGGAACCGACTTTAGGTGCTTGTCCAGTGCCAGCTTGAAGACTGCCAGGGTGTCGAAAAAAAAAAATTCTTATGAAATGATGGAGAATCTTTTCCCCGATGGTAACGACGCCAAAAGTAAAAAAATTGATCGAAAACTTACGGAATTACACTCCTGCGAAGTTAGCGATCTTGGCAATATATACGCAGCAGCGATTTTGCCGACTTTGAGCCCTATTTTCGGCCAATTCCATTGTTCCAGTCAACGAAACTCATAGCTATTTCTTTAGAACTCCATTTTTTCTATCAATTGAG